CAAAGAAACGGCCGCCAGGAAGCTGTGGCGGGTCTCCTCCAATGCAGCTTACGCGGCTTCTACGGTGATAGCGACGACGAGGTGCCGCGTGTTGAGGAAGGTGGCGGACGCGCGGGTCGCGGAAGCTGCGGCCGCGCGCCGTGTCGCGGATGGGCATGAGGACGGCGTCGGCGTCGAGGGTTGAAGGGGTCGTGGTGGCTCGGTCGGCGGAAGTCCGTACCGGGCACGGCGCGGCGGAACTGCGTCGGTCGCGGGGTCGGGTCCTCGGGCTGAAGCGGGTGGCGGACCGTGTTGGTGCGGTGGAGGTGGCGGAGGGCCACGAGGCGGGCTTCGTAGCAGACGCGCAGGAGCGCGAACGACGCCTGCGCTTGCTTGATGCCGTTGTGTCCAAAAGGGATGGTCTGCGGGTGTGGAAGCAAGGAGAGACGTCTGTTCAGAGACCACTTGCTGGGGGGATGGGCAAAGGTGATGAGCCGGTTGGGCATGGCAAACTCCCAGATCAGCTCCCTGATTTCAAAGGGAAGGCGGGCAAAGCACTTGAACGTCGTAGTCTTGTTTCTGGTTTGGCCTTGTTAACCACGACACCATGTGAAGCTTGAAGCGAGGGATGAGGTACCGGTGTATGAGCTCGCGACTTCCCACTTTGATATCGGCTTTGATCTCCTTGAGGGCTTGATTGACTCCGTTCAGGGAGCTGCTCAAGGACGAGGCAAGCCTTTTGCTAGTCAGGCGGAGAGCTTGCAAGTGAGCGTTCGTCTCCTGAGCCTGGTTGCGTGCGTCGTTCTCCTTGCGCTGGATGACAATGCTGGGCTCTTGGAACCTGACCTTGAGCTCTCTCCCTGACGACGCCATGGCTGCGGTCGCTCACGTTGACCGGCGTAAGCTTTGCAGCGTGAAGGCCAGCGGCAAGACCAGATGAAGGCGTGAGACCGGTCGTGCTCGATGTTCAGTTAGCTCAGCCAGTCGGTATCTGTGCTCGAAAGCCAGCAGCAGACAGCAGACCGCAGAGACGTCGTGAAGAAGAAGAAGAAGAAGAAGAAGAAGAAGAGAGAAAAGGAAGAAAGATTAGTTGAGTGAGAGAGTGTTGATCTCAGTCGACAGGCTCACTGGTCCTCGCCTATAGAGGACTTGCAGGTCGGCAGGACGCAGAGGACGGTGCCGAAGTTTCTACCACGGAAGGCACGCAGCACCTTCCCTTGGGGCGACTGAGGTCTCGTGGGAGAAATCATCGGGCTGTGTTTGGTTGCAAGCTTATCGCGACATTCACCGGGTCTCAGGCTGTGGCAATTCATAGGGGGCGGCACGGCGGTTTATACACATTCCACGGAAGCGGGCCGTCTTCGAGACTCTTGTGCTGCAATCACAAATGCCAAGACCAACCCCCGCCCAGGCAAAACCGACTCTGTGGCCTATGCTTGACTCGTGAACAGTTCAAACGGCGAGACAAGCCATCACCATGGTCGTGTGGCCAGACCTGGCGGTCTCACTTTCGTTGACGAATTCCTAACCCTACGTTACGCTGCTCCAGAAAGAGGTTCACCCAACAGAAACCGACGGCCTCTCATCAGCATGCTTAAAAACAGCAGGAAAACCCGTGCCGCTCTTTTACACCATCGTCCATAGGCCCCGGGGCGAGATACAAATCCCGTGACGCAGCTTATTACGGTGTTTAGGTAACTCCTTAGGTAACCCTGACATTCTCCAACCCAAAACCCAAGCAACCGTCCCTCAAAGATGACCACAAACTCGTCGCCATGAGTCACCGCAGGCATCCAAGTAGACTGTGAAGACCCTGTGACGTGGTCGTCACGGTTTCTGTTCTCCTTCATCGTCAATTACCGCTTAATTGTCCCACGAGACTTGAAAGCAAGTCGTGGCCTGTCCTGCAGGCACATTCGTTAGGCAGAAAAGTCTACCAAGAGCAGAGTGGCCGAAGCAAAGGTTCTCATATGGGAGCACCAAATGGGAAGAGCACCGCACAGCTCATGAACGAAATGAAGCAATGCCATGTATACGTGGCTCGTATTTATACAGTAGCGCTACTAATGACGCCGCTGGTGACCCCAGCCAGCGTTGATCCCGCTTCATCCCAGGGGGCCAAATTGCCTCTAGTGTTGAGAATGAGAACCGCAACGATGATAGGCATGAAATTTCAGCAACCGGGCGCCTAGTTCCTCATGTGCCGTGCACCATGACTCCAGGCTCCTTGAGGACAGACCAAATAGCAAAAGTGAAAACCAGTCGCAATCAACCTCCAAAGGAAAAAAGAAGTACAAATGGGCTAACTGCCACGGAAAAGGAACTGCATGTCCTCCGGGCTGAGCGACTTCATCGCCTTGTCATCCCCATTGACGGTCGAGTGAATCATGTTCGTCTTCTTCTCTTGGAGCTGAACAATACGGCTCTCTACCGAGTCCTCGATGCAAAGACGGGTAATGGTACAGGGACGGCCCTGTCCGATACGATGGCAGCGATCCGCAGACTGCCACTCGGCCGCAGGGTTCCACCAGCTGTGACTTTGATCAGCAAGACGCACATAGAAGCAGGGAACGAGGGGATTGCTTACGGGTCCACGATAAAGACGTGAGATGCCTCAGTCAGGTTGAGAGCCACACCGCCCGCCTTCATGGAAACTAGAAAGCACTCGACTTCTGGGTTCTTCATGAAATGGTCGATAGATGCTTGTCGTTGTGCTGGCGTCATCGAACCATCGAGCATGACAGTGGTGACGCCGGCGCGGCGGAGACGCCACTCGATGAGCTGAAGCATCGACGTAAAGTTGGAAAACACAATCGACTTGTGCGTGGCCTTGTCAGACCGGAGCTTGTGCAGCTCGTATACGAGCGTCTCGATTTTGCTTGACGAAGTCCACTCCTCCATCTTGATGCGGTTGATGATGGACGACTTCTTTACCATGGCCTGGTCCTGCTCAATCTCGGGCTGCTCCAGGTCGATCGACAGCGGTATATGGCACATGGGACACGACAGCTCATCCATGTTGCTCTTGGACGACATCATGTAATCCCTGGCGCAGCCACGACAGAAATGCGTGCCGACATTTGGACCGAATCGCATCCTCAGCGGGTTCGTCGCAAATGCAGCAGACCATGATGTTCTGACCGCCCTCGGCATTCTTCTTCAGGATCAAGTCAGGATGATCGGCAATCTGGCGCATTTGCATGAGTAGACCGAAAATGTTGGCATACTGGTTCAGCATGACGCCACGAGCCACATACGTGTCGAACTGGCGTTGCGTGTTGGTCATGATGCTGCGCGCAAAGTCATTCTCCACCTCGCTGAAGAATTCCCGGTTGATATTGATCTCTTTGACGGGCAGGTCCATGGCACTCATGTGGTCCTTCTTCAAGCGGCGAAGCATGAACTTGCTAGTTATCAGTCGCAGCTTTTTGAAGGCGATGGCACCGGGACCCATGGCACCGTATTTAATGATGGGGTTCAAAATCTCCTGATTGAACACGGACACGTGCTGAATGGCAGAATGTCCGCAACTGTTGCACATCTTGTGCTCGTCCATGTTCCACTCGAGTTGGCTGCACTTGCACTGCTTGCAAAGATACGAGGCGAATGGTGTAATGTTGAGGAAGCGCACAAGTGAGAACAGCTCTCCGATTCGGTTCTGGAGAGGCGTGCCTGTCAGACACCATCTGTAGTCGCCTTTCAAGGCGATGCATGCCCTGGCAGTGCCCGTGTCGCGGCCCTTGATGTAGTGTGCCTCGTCGAGAATAATTCGGTGGAAGTCGATCTGGTGGATTATGCTCTTCTGCTTGTGGACCTCGCCCTTCTTGCGCTGGTTGAACCCCTTTTCCTGCTTGCGAAACATGGACTCCAAACTATTGTACGACATCATGATGACATCGAACCTTTTGAGCTCCTTGGCTGTGACATTCTTGACCTTTGTATTGGTGCCATGGAAAACGAACGTCTTCAGGGTTCCGTCTGTGTACGAGGCAATCTCGTTGGTCCATTGCATTAGGGCAACAGGCGGGACTAAAACGAGGGAAGGCTTCTTGATCAAGCCGTGGTCGGACATGATGAGGGAGACGCTCTGTAGGGTCTTGCCCAAGCCCATCTCATCACCCAGAAGGCCACCCTTCCAATCAGTCATCTCCATCTCTTTCATCCAAGCAACACCCTTCAGCTGAAAAGGCTTGAGCTGTCGTGTAATATTGGTGGGCTGAACCGCCTCAGCACCGGACATGGCGGGCCGTGCTTCCAAGTCTGTCCACATCGTGTCGAGTTCCGGGTGGTGTCTCTCAAGTCGGTCCCGCTCTCGGCGGGCACGGCGGCCGAGCACAAAGTCATGCGAGTCGTCAAGACTTATCCGAGCGCTAGCATCAGCAAGCTCGGGGAGCTCCTCGTCCGACTGATCTGGGTCGAAATCATCATCATCAGGCTCCGAAGAAGGAAGGAGTGGCAATGTGGCAGCCGATCTGAAGCCTTGAGGAGCATTGGGCCGAGTTGGACGCCTCTTCTTAGGCAGTGTTCCGGGACGTGGCCGCGCAACTTCAACCATATCATCGCTGCTGTCGTCCTCGCCCGTCTCCTCGGGGGCTTCAAAATCATCCGATTCTGTCTTGATGCTCAAGGCCTCGCTAAGGTCTGAAGACGAAGCTTGACCATTGGCGTCATCAGAGAGGGCATCGTCTTCGGAGTCAGTGATGAGCTTCTGCTTCTTCGTGGGTCGTTCGATGCTTGCCGAGAGTGGAGACTTTGATGGTCTGCCGCGTTTGCCCTTGGCTACAGGGGTTCTTTCCAAAGAAGCTCGCAGACCACGGACTGGACGGCTCGTAGACACGAGATCTGGCATATCCATCTTTTCATACTCTTCTTTTTGTAGACGCCGAGCAATGATTTCGTCGGGAGGAGTGTCAAAAGCCAACTCGTCCTCGTCACTGTCGAGAACTTCATACGCGTTGCTACTGCGCTTCGAGGCGCGAGCGAGTGAAAACCGGGTGTTTCTAGTGGCCCTCTCACTAGGGGCTCTTTCCATGACTGGAATTTGCACCTCCAGACGACTCATCATGGGTCGAGTTGATGCCGACTTCTCGTCAGCAGCCGGTGGCGCTGGCGTGACCTCGTGGCTCGTAGCCGGAGTAGAAGCCTCGCTTGCTGAGGTGAAGGTGGCCGAGGTCGAGGCCGACGTTGTCGATTTGCTGCCTCTCACGACCACACTCAAGGGTTCGATAGCGTCCACAGGCGGCAGAGAAACTGCAGAGCTCAGCTTTTGGGTCGAGGTAGACCTGGTCATTCGGCGAGAGCGACTACTCTCTTTAAGAATGAGGTCAGTGAAATGATGTGGACCGTGGTATAAGTGGTGCTGAGCAAAAGGGGACTACGTAGTGCGGGGGTCAACAGCACTCACCAGGGGTCTCAGGCCTGGACGCAAGAGAGTGCGCGGCTGAGGTGCGGGCTTTGCGAGGCGCCATTTTGCCCAAAGATCGGGGAGAACAGGACGGGTAGGAACAATATATCTTGCGACGATTGAGATGGCGTCCGGGGGGACACCGAAAGATCTTGCCTCAGGTCAATCGATCAACCAACAGGGAAGATGACGACAACAGCAGGACCAGCTGCAAGGCTTTGCGCGCGCGTCAACCAGTCGCAACAGACGAGCGGGCGACTCTGTGGAGGAAGCGCTCTGCCTCACTTTCTAACAGGCTATGGGGCGTGACAATCGACAAGAAGGGGCCGGAAGCCAACGAACAGACGAAGACGACCCGGGGGAGTGAAGAAGGAAGTCAAAAGTAGTCAGTCTGAAAGGGTGGGAAAAGTTGTTAGATCCGGGGAAGGCAGCAGCGGCGAAATTGGCCAATCCGGGGCAAGTGCAGCTATAGCCTTCTTCAGGTGAGAGGAACAGAAGGTGACAGTGAGAGCATAGGGTTGGTCGATGGCGACGGGTGGAAGGGCTGAGGTGCGACCGAGGACGCCTCGGCAGCTCACACTCGCAAGAGAAACGGGAAGCCTTGTTCAATAGCTGAAAGGTACGTCCGCCCGTTCACTGGTGTCAGGGGGATGGACCAACGGGGCAGAGCTGGCACTAGGTTGCCACCCTTTTCCTCCGAAAAAGTAGTGGTGAATACTGCCAACCGGGGAGTTGGAGGACGCGTTTGGCGGGCAGGGGCGGGGTGGCAAGTCTTCACGAAGTCACGTGGAGCCCCTTTTCCCATTAAAACCCTTGCATCCGGGGGCCGTGCGCTGTGGCGACTGACTCTGTCCAAACGCCATACAGTGCATCGTACCCATGGTTTTTGGATATCATAGACGTCATTGGCATTACCTGGACACGACGAACCTCAAACGCGCTTCTTCGCAGAAGCAAATTGCCTTGGCTGGGATGTTGAACATTCGGCAGGCTTTACACATGCAGCTCGATGCATCATTGCCATATTTTCAACCACGGCTACATCATTGGTGACGGCAAATGTGGACTGACTTCGAAAGACTGTCTCACGTCCCTTGGAAACCAGTGGCAAGGCAGAACTCGAAATGCCCACGAAGTCACATGACTTTGCAGAAAGTAGCGCAGCACAGAAATGTGCGGGTCGCTCGAAATAGCACTGTGATGATATGGAAGACTCGAAGCTATCACACAGTGCTAATAAGTACATGATTCAGCACCTGGTGAATCGGCTGGGAAAAGGGGCCCAAAAAGGAAAGACCCCCACACCGTGTTTGCAATCCCTGCAAGAACGATGCGCCCCGGTCCCCGCGAGGTACCTTCATAGGCACCGCGTTGAGGGACCCTTGGGACCGGACCGTTCTCTGCGCGTCTCCCGTTCCCTTTCCCTCGGCAGCTTGGCGGGTTCCTGCCTAGCCGACATCAAGTTGCCACTTGCCTCACACTGATCTTGGGCAAAAAATCTGTGAGCCGCATCAGAGTACCTACCTACGTTGACCAGAATTACCAACTGCGGCCTATGACCACCCGACTCTTGTTAGAACTTGCATAGGCCGAACCGACTTCAGCCGTCTTATTCTCCTCCTCATCTCAACTGCGTCAGAGGCTTACACTCAGCACGATGGTTCGCAACGTGACCGGTCCGTGAGTACCATCGCCGCCAGCACTTGCCTCTGAGTATCCAGGCAGCCACTAACTCAAGGACAAGGCGATCGGCCCTTACTTCTTTCCTCGCCGTCCGTCATCTCCCTCTCTGATCTGTCGAGGTTTTCATCCTGATAGTGTATCATTAGGCAAATAACATCTCCGCCCAGCAAATCACCCGCGATGTAGAGCAGCGTCGTGCAGCTGCCGCTGCTTCCCTCCAGAATCAAGCCCAGGATGATGACGACCGAGGTGACGACAATGAGGATGAGCCACAGCAGGACGGTGACGGAGACCATCGCATGACTAATGCCGCCGATGAGACGGCTGAAACAACTGCGTCCGCCGACACATCTATTGATGTTGCTGCCCCGGCTACGCCTCCGCTCGCGACCGCCCGCCAGAGAGCCGCCGAAAAGAGAAAGGCTAGCAAACTAGCTGCTGATAAGATCAAGGCCCGTAAGGCGGCCAAGAAGGCTAAGAAGAGCGGCGTTGATGACGGAGATTTCTTTGGCGACCTTGCTGACCTCCTCGATGGTCCGGTGGTTCCAGTGCCCGGTCAGCTGAACAACTGCGAGGTTTGCAGCAAACGTTTTACTGTTACACCATACTCCAAGGCTGGCCCTGATGGTGGACTTCTCTGTGCCGCCTGCAGCAGAAACGTGAAGAAAGGCGATGACAAGCCGAAGAAAAAGGTCACCAAGTCGACTGGCGGGGTTGGCAGACGCCGTGCCGTCCAGAGCAACATCATGGACGGCAACTATCATCGCGGCGCCAAGAGCCTCCTGACTCTCTGCATCAATACTCTTGTCAAGAACCTCAGCTTGGCCGAAGATTTGGGGGATCTGCCTTCTCATGTCATCGACAAGATCGCCCGCAGCATCGCGAAGAGGCGTCTCCTCGATCCCAAGACTCTGGCCCTGTTCACCCGCCCATCCATTGAGATTCTCAGCATCTACGACGGTGCCAAGCTCACTCCAGACGACTACATTACTGTCCTTATGGTTTGCAGTAATCTGAGGCAATTGAGGGTTCGGAACGGTATCCAATTCAGGGATTCCGTCATGACCTATCTTATGGGCCGCACCATGAGTCTAGAAAAACTCTCGCTTCATGGGTCCAATCTGATCAGCGCTGGCCACTGGACGGAGTACCTCACCAGCAAGGGTCATGCCCTGACCACGCTTCAGGTATACTACACCAACGAGCACTTTGGAGACGATGTGCTAGCGTTGCTCTCCGGCTGCTGCCCAAAGCTGGAACGTCTCAAGATCTACAGTAACCAGGAAGTCACGAGCGACGGCATGAGAAAGCTTGGCGACATCAAAACCCTGAAGCACATTAGCCTTCACCTCTTGGCCCCCATCGCCCCTAAAGCACATGTCTCGATCATACGCGACCTAGGCAAGAACCTTGAAACTCTGTCATTGAAAGCGGCCCCTGCCATCAACGACGAAGCTCTCACTGCCATCAAGGCCAACTGCGCCTCCCTCACTAAGTTGCGCATCACACAGAGCGAGGCAATCACAGATGAGGGCTTTAGCGACCTATTCACTGATTGGTCTAACCCTCCGCTGAGATTCATCGATTTTGACAAGGACCGTCACGTTGATGCTGAGGACGCGGTGGAAAATCCCAACAAAATCGGACTCTGCGCTGACGGCTTCCGCGCCCTCATGGCTCACTCTGGCCGTGAGCTATGCTTCCTCTACATATCCAGCTGCCGCAGCATCACGAAGCAGGCCTTCGAAGAGGTGTTTGTAGAGCATAAGCAATATCCTAAGTTAGAGATTCTCGACATTAGCTTCTGTGGCGAGGTCGACGATTTCGTCGTTGGCTGTGTGTTCCGAAGCTGCCCGAAACTTCGACAGCTAAAGGTCTTTGGCTGCATGAAAGTCACCAGCCAGGTCAAGATTCCTCGGGGCACTCTCCTGATTGGCGTGCCCAACGCGATGGGCGTGGAAATTGAGGGAACTGAGTAGTCGAGGGCTTAAGGAAATGAAGTATCGGGATAACGAATGAATCATGAGCAAAGGGCGTTCGGGGGTCAAGCACCTTGTAGAATTCACTTCGGAATTAGCTTGCTTATTTCTTACCCTTTTTGCTTCCACTTTCTACCTGCCTGCTGCGAAGCTTACTTGGTGCAGAACCAGGACAGTTGCTGGACACGCCACTCAAATCAAGTCGCGCATCAATGACGACCAGCCTGCTGGAAAGGCAAACACCACAAGCTCTTCGCGCACAGAAGTGATTGTCATAATGTGGTGGATTAGATGTACTGCTTCCCGAGGACTATGTACTTGCTTAAAAATTGCACCCCTCGCTTATACAAGACCTGCCTTTTTCATCAAATCATCATGTCATGTGTTCACAGCCTTTGGCTGCCTGTTCTTCTTCCTTAATCGGCCATGTGGTCCTTGACGAACTGGATGTCTTGCTTGACGTAGGAGTTCAACCTCGCCTCGAGCTCTGCGTCGGTCAGCGCGGCAGACTGCCTGGCCATACCCTTGGGGCTGCATGCGCTAATGTCCCTGCAGGGAAATGCAGGTGAGCCTCAATGTCGAGGCCGAGGGTACCGCCGTTGCAGCCGATGCTGGCGATGCCCTCGCAGACGCGAATGTCGGCCACGGTGTAGTCGACCTTGTCGGAGCCACCGCCCGAAAGCCAGTACTCGACGGTGGTGTGCCTGTAGCCGAGGATGATGGGGGGAAGACGGGGGACAGGGTCGGCGGCGTGGGTGACGCGGTACTCGGCGCCGGCCTGGGCGGAGACAAACTTGGCGAAGTAGTCGTTACCGACACGGGGCGAACCGTACGTGTAGAGGGTGACGGGGATCGACTCCTTGGCACGGAGGTAGGCGGCGCCGATGGTGGCAACAGCGGCGCCAAGGGAGTGGCCGGTAGCAACGACGGTGTAATTAGGGTTGGCGGCGCGAGCCTGTTTGATGGCGGCGATGGCCGGGGTGCGGATCTCGCGCCAGGCGTTGTTGAAGCCGGTGTGAACCTTGCAGTTGGCTGTGAGGTCGGTGCAGCCAGTGAAGGCGAAGAGAATGTTGGAGATCCAGTTGCGAATGCTGCGGCGTGTTAGTGGAGGACTCGAGCAGTGGGAGGACTTGTGTCTTACTTGGAGGAGCCGCGAACTGTCAGCACAATGGTGCGGGCGACATCGTCCCTGACCACGAGACCTTCAATGCCAGAGGTGGCACCGGCGAAGGAGGCTATAGTCGTAGCACGGTTCGCCTCAACCTGAGGGCAGCCGTTCTCCGAGCACTTGACAGCGGCGCCAGGCGCATTGGCCCCGTTACAGTAGGCCGCAGCAGCGTACTGGACGTAGAAGCGGAAGTTGTTCAGGTCTGCACTGGTGACGCCGACGGCTGGGGGGAAAACGTCAGTCGAGCAAGCATGAACTGGAGTCGGGGGACTGACCTCTTTCATCAAGAGCCGCAAGAGTGTTGCCATACTCCTTGATTGGCAAGACACCGGCCGTGGCCGTGGCGGCCAGGAGAGACAGGATGGGCAGCTTGAACAACATGTTGACTGAATTTCACAACAGCAACAAGGAAGAAGAGCTTCAGCGAGCGAACAAGACGCTTTGATTTCAAACCCGTCGAGATCTTGAGCACCACCTTGAGCAACTGGAGTCCGTGTAATCGAAAGCGAGACTGCAGCAAGGGCATATGATCTTACGAGACGGCGCCCAGAGCCTTCATATAGAGGATCATCTGGGGGAAGGCCATGCTCATCGCGGGATGAACATGTTCCTGGGCGCCCGGTACCATGCTCCCTGTTCGGGAAGGAGGGTGACAGGGCCATCCTTGAAAGGCCCGTAAGTGTGCACGGAGAAAGAGGGGGGCGGAAAGGGGGACGGTCTAGAAGATAGTTGGGAAGTTCCGACATGTCTCAGCATCCGCACATCCGGAGGCTGCAGCAGAGATGCGCTTCGCGGATGGGTCAGAGATGAGATATTGGCTTGTCGCGGCAGGAAAAGCACACATGACAAGGCTCTGTTGGTCAGCAGCAATACAACAGGTGGTAGACGGCGTTCGCGAGGCGCCGAACGTAGCAACGTCTTGCGCCCATCACCGCAGGTTTACTGGACGATTGACTAGTAAGATCGCATGGTAGCGTTGCAGGCCGGTTTCCGCCCCGGCCACAAGGTGACAGCCAATACGACTGGCTGAGAGGCAAGGGGTGCGAAGCGCAAAGTAAAAGAGTGAGAGAAAAAAAACGATCAATCTTGAATTCCCCCGCGAGCCGCTCGGTGCGCGAACGGGGCATAGGTTCGTTTGTTGGGAAGAAGCGGGTTCTCGTCGGGCTTCGTCTCTGGCGACGCAGCTCCCCAAACCAGCAAGGCTTCGGGCGTGGCTGCCAGAAGGGGTACAAGAGACGAGGCGGCCAAGGATATCGCGAGATCTGGGATGGTGGGGGATGGGGTAAGATCGGCACTTGAAGGTGTCCACGCGGACGAAGAGTGCGGGCGCCTGTCGGGGTGGCTGGCGATTGGCCGGCGATTGGTGCACGCTGGGTTCGTATGGAGTCCGGAGCTGTCACTGGATGTGTGTGCCCGGGAAGCGCTGCGCCGAACAAAGGCGGTGGAAGATGGCGTCGGCATCGTGAGCTGAGAGCAGGATGCGGTCGACTTGGATCGTTTTGGGGGGGTTCCTCCGACCGGTTCCACGACGAGTCAACACTTCGGCGCGGACTGGAGTCTGATGACCCAGTGCTGGATCGTGTGAGGAGCCCGGAAATGAGGGCTTTCTGTTCTTTGACACTGCTGAAGCTGAAGCTGCTCGATGCTCGGGGATCACCACCGGGATTGCTGTGGTTTGTTGAGGGGGAGAAATGAGTGATGGGGTCTTGTAGGTAGGTGGACACGAGGTATCTGCCGAAGGGTTTTTTGCTGTCGAAGTACTTCCCCACCGCCATGTGTCCCCCACAGTCCACCGCTGGGTATTGCCTGCCAAGTCTTTGCTTCCTGGGTCGTGCCTTCATGATCATCGTCACCATGCAACCCCCCTCCTGCCTCCCTTCTCATCTCGACCTCAGCTGCCCCGCCTGTGTGTGCCCACCTACTGGAAGTGCAATTTGCCATGGAAGTCATCAGGACGTTCCAGCTCATCCTGCTCATATCGCTCCCCCATGCGGCTGAGCTACTGAGCCGAGTTGGGTAACTCACAGCACTGCGTACTCGACACTGCGCTGCTGCGGACCATTCCATCCATCCATCTCTCCCCGCTATCCCCCCCCCCTCCCTGGCCATCTTGTCAAATGACGATGCTGATGCCACCCAATTTATCAAGCCAGCAGCCGAGAGCCCCGGGATTGCAACCCTATCTCAGCAGCACAGCAGCACAGCGGCACCGTGTCCAACTCTCCAGCTTTTGCGCGTCTTGTCTGCCGATGCCAACCAGTG